CCGACACACCCCTCAAACGCTTTGCGGCCCTGAAGGGCGTCCAACCGAAGCCTCCCGGAGGGCACATGTCGTCCCCAAGCCCAATTCGACAAGACCTTCACGCGCCTCGTCGTCCCATGGGGAGCTCCATCAAAGCCCGCACATAGCGTCCCCCAGCACATTTCGGCACTCCCTCTCACGCGCATCGTGGCCCCAAAGGATGTTCCATCGAAGTCCTACAGGGAGGGGCACATACTGTCCCCAAGCCCATTTTGGCACAGCCCTCACCCGTTTCGTCGCCCCATGAGGAGCTCCACCGAAGCCCGCACCTAGCCTCCCCCAGCCAATTTCGGTACGCCCCTCACACGCTTGGTGGCCACCAAGGGCGCCCCACCGAAGCCCCCCAGGGGGGGATGGCGGGCAAATCGTCCCCAAGCCCACTTCGGCACAATCCTCACGCGCTCCGTCGCCCCATGGGCAGCTCCATCGAAGCCGGCACACCGCGCCCCCCCGCCCATGATGTCGGCACACCCCCTCACGCGCGTGGTGGCCCCAACGGGCGCCACGCGAAGACCCACGGGGGGGGGAGGGCACACGTCGTCCCCGAGCCAACTTCGGCACGCGCCTCACGCGCGCCGTCGCCCATTAGGGGAGCTCCGTCGAAGTCCGCACCTCGCGCCCCAGGGCCCTTTTTGGCACGCCCCTCGCACGCATGGTGGGCCCAAAGGTCGCCCCACCGCAGCCCCCCGATGGGGGGGTGGGCCCGTGAGGTCCCCAGGCCCAGTTCGGCAACACCCTCACGCGCTTCGTCGCCGTGTGGGGAGCTCCACCGAAGCCCGCACCTAGCGCCCCCCAGCCCTTTTCGGCACACACACACACACACACACACACCTCACGCGCTTCGTGGCCCCATAGGAGGCTCCACCGAGGGCCCCAGTGGCAGCGCCCGCAGGCGGTCCCTGGCCGACGTTCGGCCGACGTACGCTTCGTGGCCCCATACGGAGCTTCACCCGATGCCGCAGCGGCGTGGGGGGCACATAGCGCCCCCCGGCCCTCCTTCGGCACACCCCTGTCACGCTTCGCGGCTGTAGTGGGCGGCCCCCCCGTGCCCTTCTCTTCGGCACCCCCTCTCACGCGCATCGTGGCCCCGTCGGGAGCTCCACCGAGGCCCCGGCGTGCGCATCCCATCCACGTGCGACCCCGAGCTCACTTCGGTTTTGTATGCCCAGCCCTTCTTCGGCACCCCCTCTCACGCGCATCGTGGCCCCATCGGGAGCTCCACCGACGCCCCAGCGTGCGCATGCGCATGCGACCCCGAGCTCACTTCGGCACTGCATGTGGTCCCACCGGGACTTCCGCCTATGCTTCGTCCCGCTTGTCCTGGGGCACACATGCTTGCACCTGGTTGGGTCCTTCGCCAGGACAGCCTCAGCGCGGGATCCCCGAGACCCAGAGCGTGAATTACCTACCCGCTTTCGCTTCCAGGCAGAACCAAGTCATACCACGCGCCTCCTCGTCAAGCGGCCTGACCAGTACAAGCCGTAGTTTGGCATCGCTTGGTATCTCTTGGAAGCGAGGGTGGTCAATAGCGAGGTAGTTTTGTTTGCCCCCTAGAGACCCGACCCTCTCCCAAGGGCCGGCTGTCCACCCCGAGTCGTCGTCTGACCCTCCTGGGCCCCAGCGAGCGTCCGCACACGGCAGAGCACCGTCCGCCATCACTCTTTGCACGACTCGCGAGCGGGTGTGGGTCCTCTTCGCCCCCCCCACGGCGGCGGAAGACGGGACGCCCTCGAGCGGGGGCGACCTGGGGCAACGTCAGGGGGGTGAGGCTCCAGGGCAACGTCAGGGGGGGCGACCTGGGGCAACGTCAGGGGCGAGGCATCGACCCCCAGAATCGCCCCCTGCACCGCCGACAGGGGGCCTGCGACAGCCCACCCCGCCCAGGACCACGGGCCTCGCCGTCGGGGGCCTGCCGCGGATGCGGTCGGCGATGCAGCGCCGCTCCAGGCTCGATGTCCACCCCCCCTGAGTTGGTCCCCATCCAAGGGGGGAGGGGGAGCGAGGAGCGACGCGATCAGAGAAAAAGAGTTTCCGGCCGAAGATCCTAATCGCCCTTCCCATTGTGGATTGTGGGGGGGCCCAATTTTCGGGGGCGGAAAAGAGGGGGGTGATGACTAGGGGGGATGGATATCATGGTGGGGGCTATGATATTCCCCCAGATTTCATGGCGCCTCTTCTGATTTCATTGCGCCCCTGGCCCCCCCGCTGGGCCGCGCACGTGCCGCCGGTCATGATTTGCACCCCCCCTCTTGGACACCCCCCTCTTGGCCGCTCCCGAAAAAACCCTAACCTTAAGTCGGGCACGTCCCTCTACAGCAGGAGTGTTCAAGAGCAGCCAGAAAGCAGTCTGGGACGATGTTTCGATGGTGTTTGTTGTAAGTCTCTGTATGTTCGACTAGTTCCCATTTTCTCCAACACCTGCCTGTATGGGACACCCCCCTCATTGGCCGCCCCCGAACTTTCTCCGACCGGGAGCCCACCTTCGCGGTGCCTCCCACAGCGGCGGCTGCCCCGCCCGGCCCAGCTCCGCTCTCAGCATCGGCCCCCCGGGAGCGTGGGATCTCCTCGCCGCCGACGGCCTCGCCACACCAGACATGACAGTTGCATCCTCCTCCTCCTCCTCCTCCTCCTCCTCCTCGCCCTCCTCCTCCTCCTCCTCCTGCTCCTCCTCCTCCGCCCGTGCATGTCAATTGCATCCTAGAGCACGGCCGTGGCGCCGTGCATCAACCCTGGTTCGGATCGCTGGGGATCCAGTGGCATGTGTGCATGTGCGCTGCACCGTCGGTGGTGCCAAAGCCCTTCGTGTGAAGTTCCTTTGAGCGTTTTTTCTGGCTCCTATTCCCCCGGGGCCCATCCTGGCTCGTCTGCCCAGGCAGGCCCGGCCGTGGTGACGAGGGCGACAGTCCGCCGCCGTGTGCTTCGCCCGGCGGGCGCCCTGCGGTGCCCCTCCGGCGAGCACGGGACGACGACGACGACGACGACCGCGACCACGACCACGACCACGGCCACGGCCACGGCCACGGCCACGGCAACGGGCACGACGACCACGACGACCACGACGACCACGACGACCATGACGGCCACGACGACCACGATGACCACGACGACCACGACGACGACGACGACGACGACGACGACGACGACGACGACGACGACGACGACGACGGCAACGACTACGACTACGACGACTACGACCACGACCACGACCACGACCACGGCCACGACGAGCCGCGGGGGGGCCGCCGGCGGCGGCGGCGGCAGGCGCGCGGCTGGCCGCAGTGGCGTGCGGCGGTTGCCGCGGGGCCTTCGGCCGAGGGACGCGGCCCCCGCCCGGCGCCGCGTCCGCCGCTGCCTTCGGCGCGGGCGTTTTTTCTGTTTTTGCAGCACGGTCGGGCCAGGGTGTAAGGTCGGGATCGCTTCGGGGGGGAGCGAAGCGGCGCGAAGAGGAGGAGGGGAAAGGGGAGGAAGAGGGGGAGCGGGAGGGAGAGGAGGAGGATGTGGATGAGGAGGCGGATGCGGAGGAGGAGGCGGAGGAGGAGGAGGAGGAGGAGGAGGAGGAGAAGGAGGAGGAGGAGGAGGGAGAGGAGGGGGAGGAGGATGAGGAGGATGAGGTGGAGGAGGAGGCGGCGGTGGGAGGCGGCGCGACGATACGGTCGGACCGAGGCAGAAGATCGAGGTCGGTTCGGTGAGGGTGCCCCACTGTCATTCGCGATTGTTGGATGTTATTGTGTATTCTAGGCCCCCTTAGATGGGGTCGGAGTAGATGGGGGTCGAAGGATCGCTCCGCATCGCTGATGCAGCGGTGATGCGTCTCGATATGGAGCCCGCAATTCTCCACGCCGATGGCGTCGATAGATCGCTGACGTCGCCGATGCTTCGCCGATGCATCGGCGACGCTGCGCGATCCTCCGACCCTATCTACTCGGACCCCATCTCGGAGGCTTCTAAAGATCGAGGTCGGTTCGGGGAGGGTGCCCTACTGTTCACTGCATCGGTTGGATGTTATTGTGCATCCTGTGTTGTTTTGTCAGGATGTCCTTCTGACATAGGTCCGACCGTACCGGAACAGGGCTCGCTGTCGGCGCCGTCGAGGCCGTTGTCCATTCGAGACACAAGCTCGCCTGCCCAACAGCGGTCGCTGTCGATTTTGGACCAGTTTGTGTTTGGCATCGTACCCATGTTTGTCTGTACCCATTTCGGGCGACAAAAGCAGCAGCGCTTCCCAACCTCCGCAGCCATGTGCCTCGGAGGGCCCACAGAGGGCTGTGCTGGCAGCACGCATGTTGCACTGTATGCGCGCTGAGTCTAGGATAGACGTCGTTGTGTGTCAGGCCTTCGAGGGCGGAGTCTGCTCCTTCACCTGATCATCGTCGTTCTCCCCCCTGTCATCCAACCCGTGCCTCGCGTCTACGCCCCTCCCTTCTGGAGGAACCCCCCCCGCGTGCTGGGCGGGGCCGTTCACCCACGAGGCGTGCTGTGCGCGTTGTCCCCCTTTGTGTGTGTTCCTCCTTGTCCCCCCCCACCCCCTCTTCGCCCGAGACCCGAGCCTCGCGTCTCTCCGCCCCTCCTCCCAGAGGAGCTCCGCGTGCCGCGTGCTCGTCGCCCTGGCCTCCCCCGCCCCCTTCTTCGCACGACCCCGGCCTCGCGCCTCCGCCCCCTCCCGCCCCGCCTCGCAGGAGGGCTTCTCCGGAGGGCTCGGGCGACCCGTCTTCCTCCTCCTCCTCCTCCTCCTCCTCCTCCTCCTCCTCCTCCCTCTCCTCCTCGCTCTCCTCCTCCTCCTCCTCCTTCTTCTCCTCCTCCTCCTCCTTCTTCTCCTCCTCCTCCTTCTCCTCCTCCTCCCTCTCCTCCTCCTCCTCCTCCTCCTCCTCCTCCTCCTCCTCCTCCTCCTCCTCCTCCTCCTCCTCCTCCTCCTCCTCCTCCCCATGGGGCCTCTTTTCGTGTCCGCCCCGCCCCCTCCCGGAGGAACCCCGCGTGCTGGGAGGGGCCGTTCACTCACGAGACGTGCTGCGCGCCGCCGGGCGTGGGCAACCCAGGAGACGCCCCGCCGCGGCGGAGGGCCGGCACACCGTCGGTTCGGGTGTTGCTGGAAGTGCCAATGTCGGGGGTGGACAGACCTCCTACCCTGACACGTCGATTAAGAAATTGGCCTTTTCGGCTCGCGAGAGGGCGTCGCGGCCGTCATTTTTGCGGGTCCAGGTCTGGCGGTTTCGGTCCCAGGCCGTTTTCATTAAGCGGAGGTCTACTAAAGGGAGGTTTGTCCACCGCCGACAATGGCCCATGGTGCCCCCAGGAATTCCAAGGAGGCCCCTACGGCCCCCAGAGCACCCCTCACGAGGCCCAGGGGGCCCCAGGGCCTCCAAGACGAAGCGAGAAGCTGTGGGCACCTTGGGCCAGGGGCTCCTTGGGCAACCCCCCTGTCGGTCCTGTTCTCAGAGCCCATAATCATCAGGGCTCTTGGGGGCGGAGGATCGAGGAGGATGTGTGGGAGGGGGACCGATCGGACGTGTCTCGGACGAGGATGAATCCGTTCCAGACTTGTCTGGAACGGATTCATCCTGGCTTCCTCTTAACCGAGGAAGGGGCGAGGGGGATGATCGAGGAGGAGGTGGAGGAGGAGGAGGAGGCCGGCGCCGCCCGTGGCGCGCCTCGCACGCCAGGGAGGTGGTTCAGCGCCGGTCCAAGAAGTCCGCGCGCGTTTTCTTTGTCGCTGCAGCAGCAGAAGAAGCCAGAGATCCGAGTCATCGGGGCTGAGGGTGGTCAGGGGTAGCTCCTGATTCGAGCCTCGGGGGCCCAAGCCAGAGTTGCCTCGGACCAGAGTTATCCCGGATCATTCGGGCGTCGAGCTGGTCCCGAATCATCGGGGCCGGTTGTCAGGGGCAGTTTTTGATGCATGCGCTGGGCGCCCCAGCCGGAGCGACCCCGGTCTGGAGTTATCCTGGATAATTCGGGCGTTCAACATTTGTCAGGAGAGGATAACAGACATAAGCACCAAACATCCTTGACTTGCATGAACACGAGAAAAGTTGGGAAGTGGAGGGGAGGAGGAGCATCCAACATAAATCATGGAAACATGTTTGGGGTCTTTGAATGTGTGCCAATGTGTGTGTGTGTGTTACCCCGGGCCCCTCAAGTTTAGGTATCCTGGTTTGGTATGCGAAATCTGCAGGAAAAGACCCCCCTTGTCCCTGATGTGTTGGCCCTCCTCACTGAGGTCCCCTCCCGAAGTGAAAAGGCTCGGATGTCTCCCGGCCTTCTGAGCAACAGCCCGGGCCCTCAGCGGCCGTTCGGGACGATCCGGGCACCCCCAGCACTCTCCCGAGGAGGCGAACCGGGTGGGAAACATCCCGAGGCAAGAACACGTCCAAGGATCTACGACAACGTATGACACAGGCAGGGGGGGGGAAACGGGCAGCAGTTGGCGGCGAGCCTGGGGAGGAAGGGAGAAGATGCGGGCCTTCGCAGACCGACCAGACGTAAAGAATGACCGCTCGCCAGCGGGACCCTTTGGTGCAGGCCCAGTGGCTTCCCGCAATCGCGGAATGCGATGCGATAGCTGCGTCTTTCAGGAGGGAAAGAAACACACACACACACACAGACACAATGACTCGTCGACTCCCAGAAAAGATGGGAACATATGGGAAGTGGGGGGGACGACAAGAACCCAGAACATATGGGAAGACATGGGAATCCTGTTAGTTGTGTATTTATTTGTGTGTCCCTGGGCCCCTTCAGTCTTGTGCGCCTGGGCCTGTCCCCCCGGGGCGGCTCTTCGGAAGCCGCGCCAGAGGTCGTTCGTACCCCGGGCCACCCTTTGCGGGCAGCCGATCTGAAGGGTCCAGACGTGTCCTGGACTACAAGCTCGGGGTTGGACAGAGCCCCCAACAGTGACACGTCGATCAGTGACTTGTCCCTTTTCGGTCCTCGAGAGGGCGCCGTGGCCGTTCTTTGCCAGGCTTGCGCCCGCCAGGTTTGGGCCTCAGGTCGTTTTCTTTCAACCACGTTTTGCCAAAGGGGGGTTTGTCCATCCCTGGACTTCTGATAAGTTGGGTGAACGTTCCTCAGAAGACGCCAAACAAGTGTTCAGAAGGCCAGAGGCTTCTGAGGACCCCCGCCGCCCTCTGAGGACGCCTTCCCCTCCGCGCTCCCCCCCCCCCTCGCTCGCCGCCGACGGGCTGCCTGCCACGCCGTCCCGACGGGGGGCACACCCGAAGAGGACACCAGAGGAGAACGGGAGGGCCGACGGCGAGGCGAGGAGGGGCGCGCCGGCAGAGGAGGAGGCAACGGGGGGCGGGGCGTCGATGCGTGACGCTCGCAGTCCTGCACTCCCCCGTGCGGGTCGTATGTGGCGCCCCCCCCCCCCCCCCTTTCTACCCCTGATCAAGTGCACGCGCCTGAAGTGGGCACGGCGCCGCCGAGGCGCTTGACCGCTCGCTCTGCGCGCGCGTCGCAACCAAAAAAAAGAGAGGAGGAATAACACAATAGGGCCATAGGTTCGTAGAGAGAGAGGGGGGGGGGTCCCAGGGTGGGGTTGGGGGCCGGGCCCGGCCGGATGCTCACACTCCCTTCTTCCAGCGGCTGTTTGGAGCCGTGTTCCTCCCAGCCCCACCTCTGCCCGGGGGCCTCTTGGGCCGCCTGCTGGCGATGCTCGGGCGCCGTGGGGCCGCGCCAGAAGGAGCGCTGGTGACTTCGGATACCCCCCGCACGCGACTGTGACCCGGACGGAGGGGGACATGTGACATGTGGGAGGGGGACAATCAGGAGCGAAAGAAGGACGTGCAAGTACATGGATCCACGCTGGTTTCGAGAGTTCGCATCACGCGAGTGTTCGTGTCGCGCGGCCGTCCTCGCGTTCCAAGGGGCCGCGTTCATGGACACAGCTGGGCGCGTGCGTCCTTTGTGAGCCCCCCAGACAACCGCAAGCTGCACACGCCGCGTTGCCCCTGGCAGGCAGGGGTCGGCGGATGATTTGTTTGTCTTCTCGTCATCCCTCCCTTTGGTTCGGCCTGAGGAGTCCAGTGGGCGAGCGCGGCGCGCTCGCCTTGCGTTCTGGGCCGGGTTTAGTCTGGAACGTGCTGCAGACATCCACGCATGCACGCCGATCGAGTTTGAGCTGTGTGTAAGGTGGCGGCGGGGAGCTCGGGAGGGAACTTCTATGCTTGCGTGTTTGTGCGGCTATGCGCACGTATGCGAACAGGCACGCACGCTCACCTTGGTGGCTGTTCTGACGCAGGGTATCCATCGATTCCTGCGTTGATGCTAAACTGGGTTAGTTCTAGACGCTTCGCGTAACCCCGCCAGCCCATCCAGCAACGATGCCCAGGCATTTTGCCCTGATCAGGGATGTGAAGGAGCATGCAATGGAATAGCTGGCACGGGGCGCCGTCAGACCCCAAGTGGGGGAGGATGGAGGAGGACGGAGGAGGAGGAGACGGAACAAGTGGATGAGGAGGAGGAGGAGGAAGAGGAAAAGGAGCAGGAGGAGGAGGGAGAGATGGGGTGGTTGGAGGGAGGGGGGCAAGAAAGCAGGGAGGAGGAGGAACATGCGGAGGAGTATGACCAGGCGGGGGATGATCAGGAGGAGGAAGAAGATGGGGGCCCGCAGAATGGCCATAGGCTTTTTGGATACCTCTCTGAGTTTTTGTTGCTGGTTGTCTCTTTAGAATTTCCCGGAGTTCCCCTGAGTCGTCATGGGTTTGTTTGGCGGTCCTGGGGGCCTCTTGGAGCGTCTGGGGTGCCTCGGGGGAGTCCCTTGGGGCCCCTCCGGGGTCTCTTGGGGGCCTCTCGGAGGCCTCTTGGGGGCCCATGGGGCCTCCTGGGCGCCTCGTGGGTTTTATTGGGCCATCGTGGAGGAGGTCGGCAAAACCGGGGGTACTTCTTAAGTCCCCCAGGAGGCCAACTTGGGACTAGCACCTGCGTAAAACCAATGTTGTGTACTTTTTCGCCGAGGGCCATCCGCAACACCCCCCCTCCAGACCCAGGTGGAGAGACACCTTCCCCGCCCGCAAACTGTCCCGTTGATTCCCACCCGCCCTCCCAACACATAACTAGCACCCGATCCTCAGCGTGTTCAGCGGTGGTTATGGACGGACAGCGACTGGAATCCAGAAACAGACTCCATGTGCGCGATGCTTTGGCGAGGCGCGCCACGCGTGCCAGGCGCGCCACGCGAGCCAGGTGCGCCAGGCGCCCATGGGGCCCGAGCGTGCCAGGCACGCCTGGCTTGCCAGATGTGCCACGTGCTCCACGTGGGCCACGTGTGCTGAATGCTCCAGCCGCGCCAGGTGCGCCACTTTTCTACCATCCAGCGAAGCCCTGTGGCAGCGAAGCAACAAGGGGTGGAGGCGCCGGGTTCGGCACCTTCGGGGCACGCGCAGGATTGTGCCGGGTGTGCCCGCGCAGGTGACGGCACACGTCGGGAAGCGTGTCGGCCCGCCCTTGTCAAAATGCAGTGCGCAATCGCGGCGGGGTGGCCATCATGGTTTTCGGTCGGCCTGCCACAGCAGGCAACATGCCAGCACACCCGCCGTCTCTGTCAAACACCAATGCGCAGGTGAGCACTTTCTTATTCATTGTTTTCGGCGCGGGCCCACCCCCCTCTCCCATGGAGTAGATCTTGGCTGCTTGGGCCGCCTGTTTCGAGCAGGTGGAGTCGCCCCCATAGGATGTACTGTTGCAAACTGTCGCATTAAGCAGAGGTCCGGAGCCAGACCTCCCCACCCTTCCCCCTCCTTCCGCCCAATGTCGAAACGCAGAATACGAACACGTTCACCGAAGCAAAGTGTGCGCGGGGTGGCCGCGCACGATCCACATGTGGCCGCGACGTGCACTTTGTGTTGTCGTTTTTGATACGGATGGTGGGTGGCCCTGCGCGCCGCAGGCGAGATGATCCCCGCCGACCGCCCCTCCCAAAAACAGCACAAAGGGGCTCGCGGGGCTCACGAGCATGTGTATTCTCAGTTTCAAAGATTGGAAGCCATGTGTACCCTCGCAATTCTGTCTTTATAGTGCACTGGCCACGACTTACGTCTGGCAGTTGATGATTCAGCGTCAATTCAGCGTCGATTAGCGTCGACCAGCGTCGTCTAGCATGATGTAGAGTCGTCTAGCGTTGATGAGCGTCGATTCGCAAGAGCCAACAAGAGGGTATGGGAGGCTCCCATGAGTTGCCACCGAAGGTTGTGACAGGGATGGCGGTGGGTGGAAGTGTCATTGGGCCCAGTTGGCTGCAGGTCGCCTGGGGGAGGGAGTATTTGTAAGCCCCTCCCTAAAGGGGAAGAAGGATATTGTAAGAGACAACGCTCTAAACCACTCACGCTCGGAAGGACTGGTGGGATTAATCAGGAAATGGGGGCCAATTCTTGCATACTGTGCTGAGGTCTCGAAACCTGCTCGATGAAACACTTCCTCCCAGATTGCTGGGGCGGCCTCCACACTTACGAGAGCTGCTGCGAGATGGAGGAAGTGCCGCTGTTCACGAACGCGGGTGATCTGAACCAGGCGGTCATCGAATTTATGTGTCTCTCGCTTGTGATATGTTTCTTGCTTGCGTTTTTATTACGTCTGCTCGCTAATTCTACGACGGTTGATACAGTTACCCCTTGTTGTGAATTTTGGAGTGTTATACCAGCAGTTTGTTCGCTTCCTAAATGATCACAAGTACTGGTGAACAAACAGTTTCGTCACATCCAGCTTGGCACCTATTTGTTTGAGGGAGAGGAGGTTTAGACATGCTCCCGTTCGCGTGCGATCGCATGTCTTCTCGTAGCGCGTCTTCCGCTCGCCCCTATTTTCGTGTTGCTTGTTCGCTGAGGGCGATCGCGTGCTTCTGGCGAATAGCCGCTATCTGGTTGTCTTGAGGCTCCCCCTCTCTCCCCTGCCGACGCTCTTTGCGCCCGTCTGTCCTGGCACCGCACGCCCCTTTATACCAGCCTGGAACATATCCCTATCCCTATGCCGGGCATCTCCTCATCACGATGCCAATCTTAGGGATTCCCTGATTTTTTGAGGGCGCATCCCTCAGATTGTCATCGCTTTTTGGGATGTCGGTCTTAGGGATGGGGATCGGTTCGAGGCCGGTAACCTTTGGCGCGCTCTCGTCCTGCGCCTCGGCCGCGCCTGCCCGCCTGTGAGCGCGGGGACGCGAAGGCAGGGCGGGGCAGGGCAGAGAAGCGGGCGGACGCGTGGGGAGCGGGGGACGAGGACAAGCCTCCTGCTCCTCCTCCTGCTCCTCCTCCTCCTCCTCCTGCTCCTCCTCCTCCTCCTCCTCCTCCTCCTCTTCCTCCTCCTGCTCCTCATCCCTAATCCTGCTCCTCCTCCCATGCCTTCCGATGGCGCCGTGTGTTCCTCCAGTCGCAGGCGTGTGTCCTGCGGACCCGGAGCCCCGCGGAGGACACCGTCGTGTTCGGCGCAGTCAGAAGAAGGGAGCTGAGTACTCTGCAGGTGGAGGAGGTGGCGGCGGATGAATTGAAAGATGTGAGCGAAGGGGCGAGGTTGAGCCAGAATCGCGACGTCGCGTCTTTCTCTGCAGCGTCGAGCCCCTAAAGGTCTGTACCCATCGGTCGTGGGAAATCAGAGAGAGAGAGAGAGGGGGCCGAGCTGTCTCACACCATCTCCGGGTGCGTGCCTCAAGTTGTGTTCCGCGTTGGGAGTGCACGATGTTGTTGTGTTGCGTATTTTCTTCCTCGAAAAAAGGAGGCTGGTGGTGTCAGACTTTGTCGGGGTGTCCCGGCACGGTTTTTGCAGAGTGGGGGGCCCTTAAGAACCGATACCCAGAGGCTCCAGAAGGCTGGCAGTGTCAGACGTGGTGGGGAGGTCCCGGGACTGTTTTTGCAGGGTGGGTAGCCTTTAGGAGCCGATGCCCAGAGGGCTCCAAGAGGCTGGCTCCAGGAGGCTGGTGGTGTCAGAGGTTGTCGGGGTGTCCCGGCACGGTTTTCCTGAGGGTAATTTCCAGGCCTCCATGCCCGTGGCAGGGATTTTCTGGCCTTCGAAGACGGGCCAGGAGGCCCCCCAAAACCTTTTACGATGGTCCACCAAGGATCCGCCAGGGATCTGAATCACCGAAAACCATTCCAATAACTACGCACAAGATGACCCCCAAACGCCCCAAGAGACCGCCCAAGACGCCTCCAAAGCCCTCCAGAGAGTGGCCCAACAGGCCAACATCATTGATTTCTACTGTTCCCAACCATCCTGTTGTGTTAGGTCTTCGTTTTGATGAGACGGTGCCCCGCTTTCCTCCTTCGCCTCCTCTTCCCCCCCTTCTCCCGCTCCTCCCTCTCCCCATCACCCCCGTCACTGTGGCACACCCCTAACACGCTTCCCGACCCCTTAGGTAGGGAGCTCCACCGAAGGCCCCAGTGCTTCCGCCCGCACGCGTCCACCCCACCCAGTATTGCGTTTCGTGGCCCCACAGGGAGCTCCACCAGAGGTCCCAGTGCTACCGCCCGCATGCGTCCCCCCACCCAGTACAGCGCTTCGTGAGCCCACAGGGAGCTCCATCGGAGGTCCCAGTGCTACCGCCCGCATGCGTCCGCCCCCTCACCCAGTGCAGCGGTTCGTGGCCCCACAGGGAGCTCCACGGGCCGCCCCAGTGCTACCGCCCGCATGCGTCCCCCCCACCCAGTAATACAGCCTTTCTGGCACCATAGGGAGCTCCACCGAAGGCCCCAGTGCTACCGCCCGGATGCGTCTCCCCGCCCAGTACAACGTGTCGTGGTCCCATCGGGAGCTCCAACGACGGTCCCGGTTCTACCGCCCGCATGCGTCCCCCCCACCCAGTGCAGCGTCTCGTGGCCCCATAGGGGGCTCCGACGAAGGCCCCAGTGCTGCCGCCCGCATGCGCCCCCCCCCACCCAGTACAACGTTTCGTGGTTTCCTACGGAGCTCCATCGAAGGTCCCAGCGCTACCGCCCGCATGCGTCCCCTCCATCCAGTACAGCGCTTCGTGCCCCATAGGGAGCTCCACCGACGGTCCTCATGTTATCGCCCGCATGTTTCCCCTCACCCGGTTCAGCGTTTTGTGGCCCCACACGGAGTTCCGTTGGCGGCGCCAGTGGCACCGCGTGCATGCGTTTATTCTACCCAGTGCAGCGTTCCGTTGCCCCGTAGGGAGGTCCACCGAAGGCCTCAGTGGATGCGTCTCCCCCCTCCCGAGCAGCGTTTCGTCGCCCCGTAGGGAGGTCCATCTAAGGTCCTAGTGCTACCGCCCGCATGCGTCCCCCCCACCCAGTGCAGCTTCTCGCGGCCACAGATGGAGCTCCACTGAAGGCCCCAATGGCAAGGTCCACATGCGTTTCCCCCACCCAGTACATTCGTGCCCCCCATAGGGAGCTCCACCGAAGGCCCCAGTGGAACCGTCAGTATGCTCTATAGGGAGCTCCACCAAAGGCCCCAGTGGCAAAGTTCGCCCCCACGCAGTACAGCGCTTCGTGGCCGCATAGGGAGCTCCACCGAAGGCCCCAGTGCTACCGCCCGCATGCGTCCCCCCCACCCAGTGCAGCGTTTCGTGGCCCCATAGGCTGCTCCACCGGAGACGATACCAACAACTGCGGGATTCACAACTGCATGTGGGTGGTTCTTTCGCCAGGCTGATGTTTGTCTATCTTCCATTTGTTCTGTAATATCTGCCTGCAGGAGGACATGCCCGACCTAATGCTAGCTCTGGCCCAGGAGACGAGTGTCCATCCTGAGCCCGATGACCACCGCGATGTAGCAGGCACGACGTTTGAATCACCCAAAGGGGTCTCGACCGAGGGTGCCAAGACGTCCTGCCCCCGCCCCGTCGCCGTTGTCCTCCCTGCCCGCCCAGATACTCCGGATTCCATAACAAAGTGGGGGGGTCACATTCGGGGGGGGTCTAATTTGAGCTGTCTTGGAGGGTTCGGGGGGGTCTGAGCAAAGGGCTGCCCTTTCATGGATAGTCTGGGAGGGTCTGAAACTTCTCGTCTGGGAGGGTTGAGACCCCCTCCCTGTTATTACGAAATCTGGAGTACCCAGCGGGCGCGGTTCAGCTCGAGACGAGGGCCCACGGGGCCTTCGACCCCCTTTTCCCGAGGCTGGCCTCGCACCCTGACGGGCTCTGCCCCGACCGCCCCGGGGCCCAGCTCCCGCGAGAGGCGGGCCGCCTCGAGTTTTCTCGAGCCCCCAGCTCTGCTGGCAGCTCCTTCCCTCTCCCTCCCCCTGTTTGCCCTCTCCTCCTCCGACTTCTCCCCCCCCCCCCTCCCTCCTCCTCCGCCTTCTACCCCCCCCCCCTCCTGCACTGAGGTACTTCGCAGGGCAGTCCCATGGTAGAGCCCCCCCCCCCCCTCGTCATCCTCCGCACGCACCTCCCTCCCTCTTCGTCCCCCCTTCCCTCCCCGCCGCGCCTCGTCTTCCCCTCCCCTTATCATCCTCTCTGCCCCCTCCACACCCCCTCATGTTCCCCCCCCTTACTCGCTACCTGCTGTTCGAGCCCCGAAGTGCAGGTTCATTGTTGTATAGGCCATTGCGCGCAGGCGGAAAATCATCGAACATGTATTGTCGCTCATTCCCTCGCTCTCCGATCCTCGACCCTCGATGCCGTCGATGCTCGATCCTCGATCCCCCATCCCCGATTCTCGATTCTCGGTCCCCGATCCTCGGCTCTCCATCATCGAGCAAGGATGACCGACTCTCCAAGGCTACCCTTGCATCCCTGTCCCTCCGGCCCATCCTCGGTAAGTCTCGCTGGCCACCCTCGCTCGAAGATCGTTCAAATGGCCCTCCAAGGCCCTTGCATCCTTTCCGCGCATCCTTACAGTCGGGGCGCTGAGGAAGGAACCCTTTTCGTTGGGGAGGGGCTCGGTGTTCCTTAGTTGTTTTGCAGTTCGCCTCTGGTTTTGCTTAGGGTTCCGATGGGACATCGAAGCTTAACTTATGGGAAACAGGGGCCTCGTTCCTTATTTTTGGGTTCCTCAGGTCAACGCCCCGACGGCATGCGCATCCTTATGACACGGGCTGACTGCAATCCTTCCTGGTCGATGCTGCCCCCCCCCCCCCCCCCATCGCTGCCGCAGGACGCCGGCGGGCCGCAGGTGTCGCGGTTCCTCGCCACCCAGGGTGGCATCTGCGACGGCGCCTCCGTCCCTGCGGGGTGCCTGGTCGGCGCCCTTTTTGTTGCTCGGGGGGGGATGGGCTCCCATCCTCCTCTTCCTCCTCCTTTTCCTCCGTCCTCCTCTTCCTCCTCCTCCTCCTCCTCCTCTTTCTCCTCCTCCTCCGCCTCCTCCTCCGCCTCCTCCTCCTTCTCCGTTCTCCTCCGTCCACCTCCTTCTCTGTCCTCCTCCTCCTGCTCCTCCTCCTACTCCTCCTTCTCCTTTTTCTCCGTCCTTCTCCGTCCACCTTCTTCTCCGTCCTTCTTCTTCTCTGTCCTTCTCCTCCTCCTCATGCTCCTGCTCCTTCTCCTCCTCCTCCTCCTTCTCCGTCCTCCTCCGTTCACCTCCTTCTCCGTCCTCCTCCTTCTCTGTCATCCTGCTCCTCCTCCTCCTCCTCCTTGTCCCTTTTCCTCCTCCTCCTCCTCCTCCTTCGCCTCCTCTCCTCCTCCTCCTCCTCCTCCTCCTCCTCCTCCTCCTCCTCCTCCTCCTCCTCCTCCTCCTCCTTCCTCCTCCCAAGCAATCTGGGGCGACACATTGGTTCCAGAGAAAGGGCGCCCGGAAGCACGGGGGCCGCGGTTGGATCACATCTAGCGGGACGGGAGGACGCCTGGGCAGGGGAGCAGCCAAGGTCCACGCAGGAAGAGTGGCCTCTATGTGCGTATTGTTTCGCTCGAAGCAGAAATCACCACATAGACATGAACTTTTGGCGCTCTGCGCGGATTTCTTTGATCCGCGCATGGCCCCCCCGGCGGCGCCTCCGGGACCGCCCCTGGCGCGCTCCGCGCGCCATGGAGGGGGGTCCAGCGCGAATCCCAGAAATCCGCGTGGGAAGAGGCACGCTTGTTGGTCACAGCATCTCCGATGGTGCCCCGTCCCTGTTCGCCCGGTCTGGTTGGGTATGTTCTGGCTCTCGTCTACCTTCGCATTGCTCAAGTCGGGTGTTGTCAGAAGTGCCCCCCTGTCCGGAGGGACATCCAGGACGTCCATGCAGGCCTCCGCGGCCTCCAGGGCACCCTTCGCCAGGCCAAGGGGGTCCCCGGAGCTCCAAAGTGGAGCGTAAAGTTGCCGGCGCCCTGCGCTCGGCAGCAGCAACGAGGGTATTGCCCAAGGCAGAGCTAGTTGACCAGGCATCCTGAAGGACGCGTGGGCTGGTAGGCAAGGACGCCCGTGGTCCATGCCGATGTTCCTTCCGGAAAGGTCACCGCTGTCAGCCAGAACGGCCCTGGCGGCACCACCTCGGAGTCCTCGGAGTTCAGTCGTCCTCGGAGTTTCTCGTCTCTACAGGTGCACGCGGAGGAGAGGGACTGGAAAGAGCTGTTTGAGTTCCACAGCCTGTCTCAGTTCACGAGCGTCCGGGGCGAGCCCATCAACGTCTCCGAGCTTGCCCGCAGGACGACGGCGCCGGCTTCGTGGGATGAATAGCCAGAGAGGTGGGGACTGGATTTCGCCGACGCAGGCACAGGTCGGTGACCAGTAAAAAGGTGGCACCTCTGCGCAGTGCCCCCTTGGTGCTGGCCCACGTGAGGTCCCCCGAGCATCGGCCTGCGCGCTTGGCTGCGCCCCCCCCCCCCGCCGGCCCGGCCCGGCCGTGCACCGAAGGTCACTCGTGCCCAGGGCCAGTCGTTGCGTGCAGCCGGACGGGTGGCCACGGTCAGCCAAAGCTCGGTCCGTGTCTTTTTTTGCCTGGGTGCGTGCGTGTGGGAAACTGTCATTGAAGATGTCTCTGTCTCTCTCGCTCTCTCTCTTTCTCGCTGTCTTTCTCTTTCTCACTGTCTCTCTCTCTTTCCTTCTCTGGCTCTCTCTGGAAGTATACCCGAGCACGGGCGATAATAGAGCCTACCCCCCCTTTCCCCGCCTCTTTTTTAAACATTCCCCGTCCAACAGGATTTAATTGTGAAGATAGGCGGGGAGGCCGAACTTTATAATCCACGGGTGACGTTGCGAATCGAAGTTGTTCTCATCTCATGCTGACTACTCCAAAATATGCCGTGCTTGCATGGGAGAGTGGTTCGAAGTCCAGCGTAAGAGAAGTTTCTTGGCCAGAACGGCCAAGGACCTCTCTTGATCTGGCAAGTTGTAGGCACGAGCCTCGAGGTCTCTCGAGTCAGTCTTGTGCTGAGCGCATGCTTGCAAGTTGTATAGCCACGAGCCTCGAGATCTCTCGAGTCAGCCTTGAGCAAAGCGCATGCTGGCAAGTTGTATAGCCACGAGCCTCGAGATCTCTCGAGTCAGCCTTGAACCGAGCGCATGCTGGCAAGTTGTATAGCCACGAGCCTCGAGATCTCTCCAGTCAGCCTTGTGCCGAGCGCCTGCTTGCCAGGTCTATCTCCACGAGCCTCGAGATCTCTCGAGTCAGTCCTGTGCCGAGCGCCCAGGATCATCATCATCATCGTCGTCATGATCATCATCCTCATCCCCGGGAAAATCTGTTATTCCCCGCCAGAGCCCCAAAGTTTATTATCCCCCGGTGATACTTATCGCCCGCGGTGGGTTCTGCGTGTATCTCCGATCTCTCCCCACGGCCATTCAATCCTTCTCCAGGACTTCCACTAGCTTGCGCCCCCTCTCTCTCTCTGACTCTTTTTTTTTTTTTTTTTTTTTTTCTTTTTTCTCTCTCTCTCTCTCTCTTTCTCTCTCTCTCTCTCTCTCTCTCTCCCGCCTGTCCCGCTCAATGCTGTGCCAGCCTGTATGTTATTGATGCGTGCGCAAGTACACAACATTCGTACTAGTCTCCTCTCTCCCCTGACTACGTGCGGAAGGTCTCCCGCCCCCTCTAGTTTAACTTCCACGCCGGATTTCAAATGGTTATGTCTTTTTATTTATGGCGTTTCACAATTCGATTGTTGTCGGAGTTTCCAGCTGGTGTTGCCGTTGCAGCGTGGGCCTCATTTTCGGATCGGCGCAGGCCTCTTTTCTGGACCCGAGTCCTTGTTCATCGTTGTTGGTCCCCGCATTTGCCCTTCACCGCCTTCCCCTGGTCCCCCTGGTCGTCTGCTCTTTCCATTTCAATTCGTGCTTCTGCTGTTCGTGCGTCCTCCCCGCACTCCTTCCTCATCCTCCCCCGATTCCTCCTGCTCATCCTCCTGCTCCTCCGCCACCTCCTCCTCCCCCCTCTGCACGCAGCCCCCTGTTCCCGATGTCGCATGCCGTTCCAGGTTCGCTACGACACGCGTCCACGGATAGAGGAAGCATCAACGCAGTGGTGAGGGATGGGGGGGAGGGGTAGGACGTCAGATGTGGCGCTTGCACGCCCGCCTTGGCCCATCTCTACTTTCTCCTTCGTCTCGCTCTCTCGCTCGTACGCCCTCTCTGTGTTTCTCTCCTTCTCTCTCTCTCTCTCTCTCTTTCTCTCTCTTTCACCCCCATCCGATACTCCCCTTCTCTGTTAGAATATCCTCGCTTTCTTCCCTGTACTCTCTGTCTATCTCTCTATCTCTCTCTCTCTCTCTCTTTCCAGAGAGCCCCGCGACCGTCGAGCGCCAGGCCGCGCGCGAGTGCTGGCTGCAGCGTGCAGCGGAGCGCCAGCCGACCGGTCCCATCCGCCTGTCCTTTCCCTCGTCCTCCCTCGCCCTCGTCCTCGTCGTCGCCGTAGCCCCCCTCGTCTGGTCGAACGACGCGAAGATCGGGACAAAATCGGATCGGGATAACTCTAAATCTCTGAGAATCGGCGGGTTTGGAGGATGTATTGGGCGCCGCGGCCGCTCCAGAGCGTTCCGGAACGCTCTGAGAGCGCTCCGGAACGCTCTGGAGCGATTTATCCCGATCCTAGCCCTGTTTTATCTGGAGAGACATCCCTCCAGGATGGAGCACGACGACCAGTGCCCCTACGCCCCCTTCGTGCGCCTTCAAGGCCTCCGTCGGCCGCCGGAGGAGGAGGAGAGAAGAAGCAGGAGGAGGAGGGAAAACACACACAGGCACAATCGTCGATTCCTCTGGAAATATGGGAAAATGTGGGAAGTGGGGGGGAAAGCAATAACACTGAAAATATGGAAACTCTGGGGGTCGTGGGATTTGTGTGTATTTATGTGTGTGTGTGTGCCTGGGCTTCTTTATAATTAGAGAGGAGGGGAAGGAGGAGACGTAGTTGGGCCCATTGCTAGAGGTCGCCCACTTCGTCGTTGCACTGCTTCTTTCACCGTCTCGCAGGCCACGGTCCGTGGTTGGCTCGTGGCACTGACTGTTCTCCACCTCCCCCCGAAGATCGGTGATCCTCTCTTCGGGCGTGGAGGGAGACCACTCGAGGAGGAACGGAAAGGATGAGGGAGGATGATGGTATGATATCTTTTTTCGCTGAGCTGATCTGGGGATTTTGAAAGTCTGGGGTGAGAGGAAGGTTGGAGAGAGCAGAACGAGGAGGCGAGGGAAAATTAGGGATCTGGAATACGAGGGGGAAGTTCGGGCGTGGAGCCATCTGGATGCTCTCGGGCGCCAGGGATGAGAAGTACTAGGAGGAGAACACACGACGCGTCTGGAAATAAAACGGATGTCCAACGGAACGGAGTACCAGTCGATCGCGCCCGTGACCATGCCCATCGATCGTGAGCAGGGGGATGTTGTCCAGAATCCTCCATCTATTGCGCCAGTTGCGCCCTTGCGTCTGATCAATCTCTGCACGAGGATGCTGGCACCACGAGAAAAGTGCGGGGAAGTGCGCGTGTGCATCTGGGACACGCGCGAGTCTAATATGTGGGCGCGGTGCATCGCCGGCAGTCCCCGTCATACCTTCCTCCCTCATCCCCGCCCACCCCCCGAAGCTCATGTTTGGCGTCAAGGTGGGCACACGCAGCGCGCGTTCCTTTCATGTTGCCAGCGACTGCAGTACGCCAGGAAGAGGAGACGTGTTTGTTGAGACAGAGGGATACGTGTTGTTGTGTGTGGAGCACGCAGGTCCCGTGAAGATGACGAGGGAGAAAGTGAACGGTTCATATAAACAAGTTTACATGTAGCCCCAGAGCCCGTGGCCCCCCCAGGACCACGAGATGAGGGGCACACGCAGACATACACATACTATACATCTGTAGTATTATTATTATTATACATATATGCACATACACGCGTGTACATACAGGGCTTGCGAAATGCTGCACGGCAAACTCACGCAGTGGGAGAGTACGGTGGTGATACGGGTATATACTTATATAGCTATAGCTGTATCGAGGGAGAGGGAGGGAAGAGGAGGGAGAAAGACCGGGACAACCAATCATGCATGGAGGGTTACATGTTCATGTGTGTATGTATGTTTATAGATCATGAATAGATACGCTCCCCCCGGCCCTGGGTCCCACACCTCCCCGTGACATCTCGGGGACGCTCCCAGTACTGCTCCCCCAGCCTGTCCGGGGAGCCTCCGCAGCGCTCCAGGAGGGCCCAAGGCGCCTCCCAGGAGCCCCCAGAATGCGAAAGGATAACCCAAGACGCTCCCAAGCAGCCCAAGTCAGCCTTCGACGGCTCTCGAGGCTCCCAGGTGGCCTCCAAGAGAGGTCCGAGATCGTCCCGAAACGACCCGAAGAGGCCAACATCGTCGATTTGCATTGTCTTTTCAATGTTTTTGGCTTCTCGCGTTGTCGAGCTTCCAACGGTCCAAGACCGCCGAAGATGCTCTAAGACCGCCCCAAGACCACCCAAGAGACCTCAGGAGAGCTGCGAGAGCCGTCCCGAGAGAGCCCAAAGAGGGTAAAATCGTTGACTTCCAACGGTTTTTCCAATGTTGTTCCAATGTTGTTCCCGCTTCCTTCCCTCAAAGATCGAGGATTTCTTTATTTGAAAAGGAATCCTCCCGGCTTCTTGGGGATACCCGAAGACGCCGAAGGACAGCCCATGACGACCCCAAGATGCTCCCAGAACGTAAAGAACGGCCCAACACGCTCCCGCGCAGCCCGAGACACCCTTCCGACGGCTCTCCAGGCCTCCAGGAAGCCTCCAGCACCCCCCAGGGAGTCCAGAAGATCCCACACCCCTGAGGGGCCCGGCTAACAAAACCCGCGAGGCACAAACAAAAAACAGCCCCGAACAGCGCCGAGGAATTGGACAAAAAATAGAATTCCCACAATTATATTGTTTGTTCTCCAAGCTTGACCCCCGGTCTACTTTTGCACCACAGACCACAATTCAGACCCCCCTCATCTCCCAAAAAAGAACCCAGAAAGCCTTTGTATGCCCCAAAACGTTGAATGCTTAAAGGAACTTAATGTTTTTTTGCGCTCCCGCACTCCCCCTTCTAAACGATTCCGAGGCTTGCGAAGGGCCTCCAAGGGAGGCCCTGGACGCAAGAAGCGACCAAATTGATAATACATGGTTCTAGTGTGTATATATACACACACATCTCGCTCTCTCTCTCTCTCTCTTTTTTTCTCTCTCTCTCTCTCTCTCTTTCTCTCTCGCTCTCTCTCTCTCTCTCTCTCTCTCTCTCTATATATATACACATGTATCCGTTTGCCTGCGGCAAGTCCCGCCACCGAGTCAGCCCAGCATTCTCAGTGGCGACTTCTCGAGGGGGCACGGGGGACCGTCAAGTGCGGCACCTCGTGCTTCCAGGTTTGGGACGTGTTTGCTCAGGATTGTGAGGATGACTCGGGTGACGACGACGATGATGATGATCATGCTGATGATGCTGATGCTGATGATGATGACCATGATGATGATGATGATGATGATGATGATGATGATGATGATGATGATGATGATGATGATGATGATGATGATGATGATGTTGATGATGATGATGATGATGTCGGTGATGCCGATGACGATGACGATGATGGTGATGGTGATGGTGAGGGTCATGGTGATACTGATGATAATGATGCTGATGATGATGACAAGGGTGGCGACACTGACGCCAGGGAAGATGATGATGTTGAGTATGATGATGACGCGGATGATGATGATGATGATGATGATGATGATGATGATGATAATGATGCTGATGATGATGATGATGATGATGATGTTGGTGATGATGACGAGGAGGATGATTGTATCATGATGTTGATGACGGTGAGGAGAAAGCGGTGGACGATGATGATGAAGCGGATGAGGATGAGGATGATGATGAGGTGGAGGATGAGGGAGATGATGATGTTGATGAGGATGGTGAGGATGATGAGGATGAGGATGAGGATGCTGATGCTGTTGAAGATGATGGTGATGATAATGATGGTGATGGTGATGATGATGACGAGTATGATGCTGATGATAATGCTGCTGTTGTTGATGATGATGATGGTGGTGGTGATGGTCATCGGTGATTGGTGATTGGTGGTTGGTGATGGTGATTGGTGATTGGTGACGGTGATGATGAAATTCGTTTGGGCCGTCTTGAGCCTGTCTTGGCTCCTGTGAGGCAGTCTTGGGGGTCTTTCGGGGCCCTCTTGGGCCGTCTTGGGGCCCCTTGACGCTGGCTAGGGGCCCCCTTGGTCCGTCTGTGGGTTTTCTTGGCCGTATGGCGGGTGTTTTGGGGCCGTCGTGGGGCCCTCGTGGCCCGTCGGAGGGCTTTCTCAGGCCGTCCTGGGTCCCACGGGAAGCCCTCCGGAGCCGTCTTTGGACCGTCTTGGATGCCTCTTGGGCCTCTTTGGCTGGCAAGCAGCCCGAAGAGGCGAGAATGCTAAGCTCATTCCACAACCAAAGAGAAACCAAAAGTTTGGCATCTTCCCTGACCTTCCAGAGAGCTATTTTTTTGCACTGGAGACCTAAAAACCTAAAAAACGAGACGAAACAGCCTAAAACCAAGACGTATAATGGCTCTGGGATAGGTTTTTCAGTCGCGTGCTATTTTTTAGCCCTCCTGGAAGGTCAGGGTTCGGACCCATCTTGGGTTATCTTGTCTGCCTGCACGGGCCGTGACGCGTGTCCCGTTTTTTTTACGAGGGAGCGTGGCCTGGGAGGCCCTGGAGCGCTCGGGAGCAGCGCCGAGGGGAGTGCGGGAAGCGCACGATCCTCCAGCGGGTGCGCGTGGCATGGCGGGTATAGGAGTTCGCAGCCATGCGGGAAGCGTGCAGTCCTCGAGCGGGCGCGCATGGGATGAGGGTTCAGGCGCTACGTGCCATGAGGGAAGTGCACCATGCTTGAGCGGGTACGCGTGGGAGGGGGGGTGCAGCATCAGTTGCAACGCTGGACATGCACCATCCTCGAGCGGGCCCGAGGGAAGTGGCCTCGGAAAGGAGGGGCGGTGCACGCAAGAGTTTGCTGGTGGAGGGGGGGGGGGGCGGTCCTTTTATCAGATTTCAAGAAGCCCTATTAGACAGACGTTGACATTCTTCCACGCCTCAACGTGCCAGGGCGCACGGTGGCGGATTATGGGAGAGAGGAAGAGACGGAGAGAGAGAGAGAGAGAAAAAAAGACAGAGAGAACGAGGGAGAAAGAGAGATAGAGCGAGAGAGAGAGAGAGAGAAATACAGATCTAACAAAACACCAGAAAAGAATAGCGAGAGAGATGGAGAGCGTCAACGGCATCCCCTCACACCTGCCCGCGTGGATGCGGTGAGGCTTGCGCCCGAGCTCCGGCGCCGCCCCGTGCGCTGCCCCTCCCAGGGGGCATGTTGGCGTCGCGAGCTCGCGTCCGGGACCCTTCCTCTCCTCCTCGCCGGCGTTGGCCCCCTGCGGCTGCGGCGGCGGCGATGGCCCGCAGGCCTCGCCTGGATCGAGCAGCGCTTCGGGGAGGAGGCCGCCGCGCAGGCCTACCGGCGCGACTGGCACCGGCTGGGCACCGCCGGCGGCGGCGACTGTTTCGTGGAGCACCTGCTCAACAGGCCCCTCCTCCCCCTCCTCCTCCTCCTCCTCCTCCTCCTCCTCCTCCTCCTCCTCCTCCTCCTCCTCCTCTTAAGTCGGGCCTGTCTACAGGGGGAGTTTCGACGACAGATATTTAAACAAATACCCCAAACATAGTCCAAAAATAGTCCAAACATAGTTTGGGGACTATTTGTTAAGTATTTGTTGACCTTTTGGGGGTATTTATGGTGTATTTTTAATTTTTCGTCCAAAATCCCTTTGTAGGGGGGCACGCCCGACATAATCCTCCTCCTCAGCGGCAAGTTCAGTCTAGGTCTCCCAGGAGATAGGGTCGGAGCTGATGGGGTCGGGAGATCTCGCCGCATTGCCGATGCATCGGCGGTGCGGCTGGAGGTGGAGCCCGACTTTCTCGACGCGGGCGTCGCCGATGCGTCGCCGACGTCGCCGATGCATCGGCAATGCATCGCCGACGTCGCTGATGCTTCCTGGATCACCTGCTCAACAGGCCCTCTCAGCGGCGCCGAAATCTGAACCCTACCCTCGCCGATCCAGGCAACTTGATGAGCGGCGGGAGTAGGGTTCGGCATTCGTCGAACGCGTGGTGAAATTCGAACCCTGTCCCCGCCTCCCATCGGTTCAGGAAAGTCGATGGTCGTTGGTGGTATGGTTCGGATGTCGCCCCCTATCTCAGCGGCATTTTTCAGGAGAGGGATCGTCTCCAGGGTCAAGCAGTGACGAAGCGTCCTGGCTCGCCTATAGCCCTACCAAACAATGTTCTAAGAACCTTTTATGGTTTCCACGAAATGTTCTTAGAACATGTCTGGCTGATATTGTTTGGTTTTAACACATCGGGTTTATGTTCTAAGAACATTGTTTTTGCTCTTAAAACATTTTTGGGTTCTAAGAACATGTCGTGGTATGACTGCAGGAATGCCGGGACGGGCGGTCCCTGCTCAACAGAGGGGGATCGGCTCCAGATGTTGGGGCACTGCCGTTGGTTCTCGGCGGCCTTCCGGGGGGTGCTCTCCTGCAGCTGCGCCTCGCCGAGGGGCGTCCGGGGGTGCTCGGATCGCCCCGAACGGCCTCCGGAGAGCCGGGCTACGGCTTAAGTCGGGCGTGTCCCCCT